GACCAGTGCCTGCTATCAGTTTCAGGTCCGGCTTCTGGAACTCTTAGGGTTCGGGTCGGGGGCATGTGCGTGGACCCCGAGCAATAAACCTAAGCGATGGCACTGAAGCAAGATGTGTGCTTGTGTATGTGCGCGTCATGTGTATCATGGTGCCGGCTGAGTCTATGCCAGTGTCCCGCACTCAAACCCTGCGAACCTCTGGCGCATTCCGCCGGGCTGTGATGTCGTTTCAAGGAGGCTGCAAGCGAGTCTGAAAGGTAATGAAGTAGTTCTGTCAGCAGTAGCAACCGTTTGAGTAATGATTGAAGCACTCCGGCCGAAGGATTGGCAGGATGCTGGAGCACCTGGTAAGGAAGAAGCACTCAAGCGATGGTGCAAGCCCTGCAGGATCAGCCAACATACCTTTTCCACGCCTGCTGCATGGGTGTCATCTGGTCTTTGAAGCCGCCAGGCCAAGGTGCCTCGCAAAGCAAACGGCAGTCACATCGGGGACAAGGCCATTGCAGTTGCGTCGAGCTTGGAGCATGCAAGGTGGCGCGCGCGCACACACACACACACACTCAGTCAGACGCATATTAATATGCACTCGGTTGGAAATGCAAGCGAGCTAGGAAAACGAGCTCAAAAGGATCAAGCACACATATATGCATACTTGGTAAGGTACGACCTACTGACATGCTTCTTGATTCATGAATCCGGCGCGACTGGTCATCACCGGCCTGGACTGGATCATCGGAATCGAACACCTCCTTCCAGGCAGCGATGTGTGATGCGAACATCTCGCAGAAGCCTGAGAAAAGTAGAAGACGGAGTGTGGGGCAAAGCTTGAGAGGACCCCCGCGTCAGAAGGACAACATATCAAGCCAACAATTGCCATCAGATCTGATTTTCTGGCTTTTTGCTAGGTGAGGTCACCCGAGAATCGAAATTCTGTTTAGTGTAGCAGTGTAGATGTTTAGAAAACAGTAATCCAAAGTCGCCCTCCCCCGAGTCCGAGAGCCCCCCGAAAATGATCCACACAGACTCGAAATCCTCCAGGGCTCTGCCTTCGGCGTAACACAGCGCAGTCGCATCCGGATCCCCACAGCTTAGAGAGTAATGCCTTGCACCTCATGGCCCCAAAATCGGGGTTTCCGAAATTAGGGAACCCTAAGATAGTACTCTAAATAGTAGGATCCTCAAAAAATAAGGACCCCCTATATTGTAGGATCCTTACAAAAATAAGGACCCCAAGATAAGGTACCCCTTCTTTTCGGAAACTCCTAATTGCAATGCCAGTTTTAACCAGGCCTGGCCATGGTCCCTTGCCAAGATCCTGGGGAGCAGAGCTGGAAAGCTTCGAAAAAACAGGAGATCGCCTTCGGTTTTAGGGTTTCGACTCTCACACTCGCACACGGCCGGCAAGGTTTAGGGCTTAGGGGTTTAGGGTTTAGGGCTTATAGGGCTTCGGGTTTAGGGTTTACGGCGGATGCGAAAGCTGGCTCCGCAGTAAAGTTGCTAGGGCTGCTTGCTCCAACCCCCTTGCGAAGTGGAAAGCCTGTTGCAAAAGGGTTTAGGGCTTCGGCTAGAGCTCCCTTGTCAGATTCCGGCTGCGAAGCCGATAGCCCTGGTGAGATGGGGGTCGGGGTCCAAAGATCAAAAATGATCAGCAGGGCACCTCCAGCTCAGAGATGCGTGCCCACGAGACCTCGGCCAAGCCACCGAAGGCTTATCGTCTCCACGTTGTGGTTTCAAAGGCTTTAACGGTGCAGAACCTGCCCTGCACGGTCATATGCTGTGACACCCGTGCTTACAATCGACATCGAAGCACTCAAGAAGACCAAGCTGCATCACTGAGCCATTCAGCCTGTGGCCGCGGACGAACCTGCCACAAGGCCAGGACGGCTATGAGCGCATGTCCCGTGGCTCAGAGTCATGTGCCTGGCTACGTTGTGTCTGTCGTTCCTGCGTGCGTGCAACTATTCAGTAGAGCTGATGTGCATCTCAGAGTACCCGGTATGCCGTGCTGTCCGGCTCCATGTTTGGATCTTGGCCTCCGCTCCGGTGGTGCCGCCCACGAGGAGTAAGCTCTTTTCTGCCTGGTCAAGCTCGTGGTCGACCTGGTGGCAAAGTCTTGAAAGTCAGGGGCACAGGCCCAAGAAGCTTGTGCAGTTGCAGTGCAACCAGCGCAGATGCCGCAGGCAGCTAATGTAGGGGCCTAAATAGTTACCAATACTATTATTTTGGGGGCTCCTTATTATAACTATAATAAAATGGGCCCTGAAACCCTGTTCTAACTATTGAGGCCCCTATATTACCCTTCTACAGACGAAATCTTGCAGAGTCATGTCTCCGGACTCCAGCCTCCATGGACTTGAAGGTGAGCAGCAGGGACAGCATGAGCTTGTCCTTCGCGAAAAGGGAGTCGCAGACCTGGCTCGGAGATCGAGTTAAAACACCGGTGATGGTCGGTGATACATGGCTAAACTTGCCTGTGGCATGAGGACACCAGGAGGACATCTACCGGTGAGCAGGGCTCATGCATGCATGTGAGCATCATGTTCACAACCGGATGGATAATCGGAGTGATCCATTTCAAAATGGCCGGCCCTCTTTCAGATGCCACAAGCCTGTGACCTTTTGCAGCCTTTCGATAGTCAAGGGGATACAGTACTGACCGTGTGGCTCTCATGGGTGCATGGCAACACAAGTAGATAAAGTGTTGAACTGACAGAAAAGGTGCGGCGTAGTTCGTCGTTCCGCCTACGATAGCAAACAAGTTGTTCCGGATTGTGCGCTTGCATGAGTCTTTGTACATCTGCTCCCAAATCAACCCAGCTACAAACATGCAGGCCTTCTCGTAGAGTAGCTTGATGAACTGGTTCTGCAGGGCCTGAGCTTCCAGATCAAAACGAGGCGTCTCCCACAACGGTCCAGTGACAACTTACTCGGCTTCTCCATCCCTGCGTGCTGCACCGGTCTACAATCCATGGCAAACGAGCAGTCTTGCAGCCCACACCCATGTACCCATAGACTCTATCCAGATTTGTCTCTGGTAAGATGAAATGCCAGAGGACACGCCCCAAACCGGCAGCACAGACCACCGTACCACAAAGAGCACACACGACCCAGTGTGTCCTGCGACCCCCACGAAGCCTTGAACTTGAAAACTCTCTGTTCTGTTCAGCTTTGGCGCGGTCAGACGCCGCTGAAGATTTCGCTCAGGCTTCTCCGCGGTCTTGATTGCAAGGAGGAAAATGTCGATGAACCACTCCAGACCTCGATCAATTGACTGCCGTTTGGTGACGGTTCACACGGATAAATTTCCGGGTCACAGAAGTTCCGTGACGAAAGACCTATGCTGGCGTCGTGCAATACTGAAGCCCGGACTCTGACAGAAGTTATAAGCATGGGATCTGAAAGCAACATACGAAGATCCATAGGATGCTGAGCGCTTCAGCTGCCCACCTGGCTACTACACATATCTGGACTGACAGGAATCAATGAGTCCAAATGCAACACGGGCCATAAAGCATCAGCAGCCAAGGAGCTGTACTGATACATGGGCTCAACCTGCCGCACACGTCAACCCCATCAGAAGGTTGCCGCAGGGATATCGTCATATTTCTAGGCGACTCTTGAAGTTGACAAGGTCTATGGCATTTTCAGTGTGCATTTTCTGCGATGGGCAACTGTCAGCATATTCAGACATGTCACACTACATGTATAGTTCTGTTAGTCAGTGTTCTACAGGAGCTGCTGCAGTTGTCCTTGCACAAGTCCGCGATGACAAAGAACATTGCAGAGCTGCGAATGGAGACCGGCACCTCTGCCCAAAAGCGGGAGTTGTGTAAGCAATGCAATGCACCGATCTTTGCGAACTGTTTCCGCACCGTCTCCCACAGAAACACGCCCACAGACTCAAGCATGTCAACGGCTTCAACTTCGATTTCTCAATGCTCTATACCATGTGCATGTATACGCCAGTGCATGCCAAGCGGCGTAAGTCTCACGAGTCTCCTGCACCAGCGCCTGCCTCACAAGCCGAGAAAAGGAGGAACGTCCCTTGCGGCTTGCTTCAACTCAAGTCCACGGCATCCTCAACATATCAAGCCCAAACCCCACTGGCTTCCCAAATTTCGAACTCTCCACGGCTCCGTGGAGATCGTAGCAGCGAACTCAAACAATTACCGGCTCTGTGCCCTTGGGTCACTTGGGTACCAGCAGGCTTTGATAAACACCCTGGTTCCTCAGAGTTCTGTCGACAACCAAGCTGCGTCTTCTCCTGCTCCTTCACGCGCTCCTCGATGCCTGCAGAGACAGAAAAAGGTGTTGGCGTCTTCCTGGTGCGACCAAATCTGACAAGAACCTGATACCCGTGTGTGCTTGCCCTCCGTTGTCCCCCGGCTGGCCTATGATGCCACAACCCGTAAATCTCCACGTTGAATATTGAAGTTAATTTTTGCCTCCTACCCTAAACCCTAAACCCTAAACCGTAAGTTAATGACTGCAGAGGTGCGTGTGGACGTTACCTTCGAATTGGCCAACGTCGTGATGAGCTCCTGCCGGCGTCGTAGGCTGGAATTGGCTTGCGGCTTCAGGGGAGCCAGGGTGTAGCCTTGCATAAAACCATGTTCCACCCATGTCTGTGACCATCATTAATTTATATGGTACATTGTGAAAGCTTAATGACATGAGCAATCACTACTGTATAGGCAGCTTGAAACGATTGCGCTGACCCTCGGCATAAATGCTGCAAGGGTTGGGTTATAGTTATCGGCTCCAGGAGTTCAATTCATTGGAATTGAACCTTCCGGACTAGTGATAGTTTAGCATTATGCTGCAGGGTGTCCTAGGGTCCTAGAGTTAGACTTGATTGACTTGACGGAGCTTCGTCGAGGCCAGCATGCACCCCGAGTAATGAGGCCAGCTGTCGGATCATCTCTCCGACCGCCAGGCTTCCCAAGAAAGCTGCTCATGAGAGAGACAGATGATACCGTGGAACCTTCGATTCAAAAACCCTAAATGGGGAGAGGACAACTCCTCGCAACTCGACAGCCACGTGTCCTCGTCATCCAAAATGTTGCCCTTGGAATTTGAGAGCAGCTCGAGGATCTTGTCCTGCGCCGACATTGAATGTCTACTTCTGAAACTGCCAACACGCCGCGAGCTCCAGCAACGGGATGCAACTGGTATGCCATGACGACGGAAGCCTTGGCTACAACCTCAGGTGCCTGCAGGCCACACATCCTGAATCTGCTCTTCCTTTCAGAAACTGAACTCACCTTGCATTCAGACTCCGTTCCCGCCGTTTCCCGGGCCTCGATTTCTTTGAGCTGCGCCTTGCTCTGCGCACTCTCGATGATCCTGAGCGCAGCTTGGGATTCGATGGCACGCTTGTCCAGCGAACGCAGCGGAGGGGCAGATTCTGTCGCTTCTTCTCCACTTCTGGCTCTTCCTGGCAAGCCCCCATGACGTGCTCCGCGGCAGTCGCAAAACCCAAGACTGACAAAGGCTCTTTTCCGGCACGCCTTGGCGACGAGGATGCCCAGCATCTGATCCTGCAACCCATCCGGCGTCACCATGAAGTTCAGCAACGTGACCTTCAATGCATCCCCGGCGCAGTATTGCCAAAGATGGATGTTGCCAGGCTCGGACCGTGGGCTTCGTGTCACTGCATGAAAATTTGATCTACTACCTTCATGGCTGCCTGCCCTCTTGCACACGCAACTTGGGCCCGTGCCTGCACGCAGATTTCCGGCGAGTAGTGCGGGTTGGGGAGCTTCGTCGTGATGTAGAGGCGGAATTCCTGCCATCCCAAAACACACAAAAAAATCAAAAGCCTGAACTCGTTCATTATGCTCTTGAGTTCATTGTTCACAGCCCTGTTCTCCTAAGCCGGGCCTAAGCCCTCATCCCAAAACAGCAGTCCTCGTTGTATTCGACCGTGGAGTCACCGAGCCGAATCCTGAGCATTCGCGAATTTTGTTCACGAGCTTTTGGAGATATGGGGGGTTTCCGAAAATAGGGGGCCCTAACATAGTACCCTAAATAATAGGATCCTTATGAGAAGGACCCCAAAATAAGGTACCCCTTCTTCTCGGAAACTCCCATATCTTTAAGGCCCGAAATCTCCAGGAGACGAGCGTCATGATCATGTTGCCGGCTTTGAACTTGGCTTTCTGCAGGAGCGGCTCCAGCAGGGGATCCAACACCTTCCGCAAGCAGGCTCGAAGCCCTCTCAGCCCTATCACGGACCTCCCAAAAACCCCCCCTAAACCCTAAACCCTAAACCCAAAAAATTCGGGTACAATTCGGGGGGAGCCTAAACCCTAAACCCTAAACCCCTGGGCCCTGCCTCAGGCACGTTCTCGATGAGCACCGGAAGGCCCTGGGAGATGCCAACCTCCAGCTTCCGCGCATAGCTGTTCCTCGGCTCGGCGGACGGTACTTAAAGGGTCATGGGACTTAGTAAGTAGGGTTTAGGGTTTAGGGTTTAGGGTTTAGGGTTTAGGGTACTTAAAGGGTCATGGGACTTAGTAAGCAGGGTTATAATTAGGGTAACTATACTTATAACCCCAATTAAGGGACTTATAACCTTGCTTACTAAGTCCCATGATCCTCCAAGTAGGGTGGGGAGGGTACTTCCCAAAAGAGCTTGCGCTCGTATGCCGGGTTAGAGGGAGGGTTTGGGTGAAGGGCGAAGCCGATGTCCGGTCCCCAGATGTTTAGTCATGTTCGTCAACTCGTCGCGAATACTGTCGTGGCCGCGGTGGTCAGCCCCTCTTCCCCACTCCCGGGTCTAAAGAGGACATGAAGGCCTCGGAGCTTCTATCGAGAACCAAGTCTTCCCACCTTGTGGCAGGCCTCCTTGCGGACTCTGAACAAGCGAGCAGCACATGGTAGTTTTCAAACGCCGGATCCCACACCGAGATGGCCCCGATCCCAAAGTATTGCTGCCCGGATGCTGCGAGAGACGCAAGACCAGGAGCTTGTCACCCTTTGAATTACGGATCCACTTGTTGGCCTCCAGGGGTTTATCTGTCCAGCTTGCAATGGGAATGCCCGCCGGAGGGGAGGCCCTTCCCGAACTGACAGCCACAAACCCCGCTTGGACAGAGAGCCAGAAACCCAAACCCTTAAGTCCCGAGCGTCTGCGCGGGCCTGGATTTGTGGGTCGATCATCAAAGGCCAACGCCTGGAGTTTGACAAGATCAGGGCGTTGTCGATAGACACCTGGCAGGGGAACTCAGTCCCGGCCGCTATGGTCCAATCTTTTTAGGTGGTTCGGACTCGCGGACTCGCTCTCTTGCAAAAAAGCTTATTGGCCCGTATGGCCAGGAAAAATCGCTCGCAGAAGATGATGCAAGCACAACCAGTACCTTGAAGCAACATTTTGGAACTCTTCCGGATGCATGGTCAGCTGACGTGACAGTCGGGCTTTGCATGTTCCCCGTTCAGAGTTCATTTCTGCAGCTCAAGCCATTAAGAGTTGCATGTGCGCCCTGATCATCCGCACAAGCGGCTTCCGTGATGATGCCACAGGCTCGATTCGACATCCCAGTAGATCGAAAGTCAAACGATTGGCAAGACTACTGCTACACTATTGCTACATGGCTGGCCAAAGCCTGTGCGTAACCATGGATGTCAACTTGCCTGGTCATTGGGTAGCTTGTCAATGACCCACTGGCGAATCACCTGATGCTCAGACTCTGACTTGAGCGCAAGGAGACCACAGAACCCCTGACGCCTGACACGATGCCGTGCAAGCTTTTCCGAAAGACTCAGCCCCAACTCGTCTAGTCTACCCTGACTGCATGCCTTCCTCTTTCGTACTCTTGTAGGTGCTCCATGCCTTCTATCTGCAGGCTTGTGGCCACATCCTCGCCGATGACCGATCGCAGCAAGAAGGACGAAGAAGAGGGCACTTTGTTCTCCCGCATGAGAGAGATCCAGGAGTCCACCGATTCGATTCGGTACTTGGCCAGAAAGCAGCCGAGGTAAGCAATAATTCCAGAGGAGATCAAGACATCCCCTGTCAGGTTGTCATACCTCAGTTGAACTCCGCAGCACCGGCGATGCAGATGTCAGGCACAATTGTAGGTGCACTACCGGCACTACCCGCGCTACCCCTCTCGACTCTGAACCGACACGACGTATTGAAATTTCTGCCGGCTCCCTTGCTCCGACATATGCCACCAGGCAGCTGCTCACCCAACTTGGCGGAGGACGCTTCCCAGCGTGACTTTTCACCACCTCAGTAGGACATTCATGAAACGTTCATTGGGCGAGGAACCTGTACAGAGTACAGAGATTTCATTGATGGCGGCTTTCGAAAGGGAGCCATAGACGTCCAAGATTTCCCAACACCCTCGCTTGCAAACTCGATCCCAAGACCTCACAGTCCAAGCGGCCAAGGCCGTTGATTAGCTTCTCTGCGGTGACGAGGCGCTTGGAGCAAACCTCGTGATGTACGCGTCACTACCGCAACTGCCTTCCAGCCCATCGTATGTGGGCCTGCCAGCCTCACCCCACAGTCGGTATCGCAGCTTAGGGAAACAGCTGTCGATCCGACCCCCGAAGTCTACAACACCGAGGCGCCTCGAACTGATTCTGCAGGTCATCCTTCTTCTGCTTAGCTGTCGCAAAGTCCTGAAAGGCGGCAGTCGACGGCAGACAAGACACCACCAAGGCAAGCAGAGCAGCCGCTACAGCATGTGGCTTGAAGCAAGATGTCACCATGCTGGGGTTTCAAGTGTCTCCTGGCTCGTGCTTGAATTATATTACCAAGAAGCTAGCCTCCGCCTCTTCCTCTATAATCCTCTATATTCAATACTGGAATAAGGTGCCCTAAACCCTAAACTTTCTAAGACAGCGAGGCCCGGCAGCCTCGGCTCCGGCTCTGACGACTTCGGCTCTCGCGACTTCGGAATTCGGAGCATCTTTCCGCTTCGGAAAGGATCGGAGGCTCGCTGTTGGGATGGTTTTCTTTGAGGGGGGGGACTGCAGGATTTAGGCTGCAGGATGCGCAGGACTCGCATTTCACAATGAGGGTCCTCGAGCAGTTTGGCGACATTGTCTTGAACCTTCTGGAGCTCTGCCTGTTGCAGGGGGCGCGACGGCGCAATGCGCATTGCCAGGCTGAGAAAAGGGCGACAGAACCAGAGACGCCTGAAGTGCTTAAGATGTCCTGAACTCTGAAAGATCTCGCGTCTTGCACAGCCAGCACCAGCGACAGAAAGGGAAGCTTCAAGGCATTGCTGTCCCGGCCCAGGCCTTCTTGATCGCCTGGGTTCGCATGCTGGGTCAGGCTGAGATGGGCCGACAGTACCGGGCCGCTGAAGCGAGTTGTGTGCTAGGTTTTGGGGTCTTGCTTGGCAGGGCTGCTCAGGAGGCCCCCCCACCCCCAGTCTAAAACCTGCAGCGGGCGGCCCGTGGAAGACGCCTTCTAATTGGGCGAACAGAAGAAGTGTGAGAAGATATCTAATCTTGATATGATATAGCTATATATACATATATATACATATATATATATATATATATATATATAGCTAGTATAGCTTGCAGCTTCTTTTCGGTGCGGCCTTTGTCTTTCCGGGAACTCTGCCCGGGCAGCTGCTGCTTGCTTTCTCTCTGCGAGGCCGACTCTGCCGGCATCTGCCGGGACTAGAGCCTTTAGAGTAGATGACATGCATATATCCCCTATAATCCCTATAACTTATGCATATATATAAATAAATATATATATATATATGGGTGGTTGTCAAAATTATGGTCTCTTTTGGGGGTCCTTATTATAATTATAATGCGGCAGCTATTCTTTAGGGTACCCCAAAAGGGACCAGAATTTTGACAACTTTTCAAATGTATAACGGCCCGTCTTGCAGTCAAGGCCAAGGCTGGTTTCAGGGGGCCGCAGCGCCCTGTGACTGATAGCTATAAAGAGGGTACCATAATGGAGGGTACCATAATTTTGGACCATAGTGGTACTACATGATGAGGGTACTTTAGTATTTGGCAGAAGCTCGCAGCTACATAATCAAACACGGACCACCCGGCCTAAACAGCACTGCGAATACAAAGGCATCGTTATGCATGCTGAACGTACTCTCTGCAGAAAGGCTTCGGCTCAGCAAAACTACCACTTCGCAACAAGCCGTCTGAATGTTGAGCATTGCATCATACACATTTTGGCCGCATGGGATCAACGCTGACGGTCGGGCCGCATTGCGGAATTGAGGGCCTTACAAGACCTCTCGAGCTGCCGACTTGCAGGGGATATGGGGGTTTCCGACAATAGGGGACCCTAATATTGTACCCTAAATAGTAGGATCCTGATTATAATCACCCCTAAATAAGGTACTCCTTATTTTCGGAAACTCCCATATGGTGGCACCCGAAGCTCTTGATCCTGCCGCTGCATGCCGAGGAGCGAGAGCAGCCTCCGCTTCTGCAAGCTGCCTCAGACAGCTCGCTGTTCTCTCAAAGTCCGAATGCCGAAAGAGAGGTCGATGCTTGCTCTCTCTCTCTCTCTCTCTTCCGCTCTCTCTGTCGGCAAGGATCTCTCTCCCTCTCTCTCGCTCTGGCTTTGATTTTCGCATGGCATAGGGAGCATGCCCCCTGGTTGGGGTGCTCCCCTTAGTTGTTGGCGGTGGCGATGCTCGCCCGTGCGGAGAGGTTGAGCAATACCTATAAGTAACTCAGACTCAAACAAAACATGTACGAGCAGGAGGCTCCCGTACATCATGAGTCAACTTCGCTCCGTAGTGGATTACACTCGACAAGTGGCGATCTACAGCATGATAGCTTTGATTTGCCTGCTCTCTCTTCTTCCACTCAGCCAACGTACAGCACCCAGATTAAATCGCTCACTCACTCAGTCTCTCACTCTCTCCGCATCTCTGTGTCTCTTTCTCGCCTGTGTCTGGGCGGCGTGCAGCCTGCAGTTTAGGTCTCGACTGCGTCCAGAGGCCAACTGCACAGTAAGATGCATGCTGGCTGGTATTCGGGTGCTAAGTGAACTGAAACGAAATTCATGGCACTGAGTTCTGTGGAAGGCCACCACATGTTTTCCAAAAGGGTGCCACTTATGTCCTGCCTACAGCGCAGAAGGTCGGCGTGAAACATCCACGCAGTTGCTGACACCTCTATGCCGGCCTGCCGGCCTCAAAGCCTCACCATCCCCCTCTCCCTCTCTCTCCTCCCCCATCTCTGTCACTCATTCTCTCGAGCTCCATGCCTACAATTCACAGGATCTGAAGCCCACAAGCCACAACCTCCTTCGACGCCTGCTCCTGATTCCAGCCAGGAGGCGCTTCTGCCCCGGCCAAAGCGGCCTTCTTGGGCCCAACCATCTTCGCAACCTGCCATGCGGGCAAAGGTCTGGGAGTGCCGTGAACATGTGCTTCTGGAAATGGGTGCCGACCCTTGCGAAACAGCTGGGACTCTCAAGCCGTTATTATAGTATATTATAGTATATTATAGGGGCCCCTAGTTGTAGCAGAGTTTTGGGGCGCAGCATCCTTTGCGGCGGTCCTGCAAAAATTCAGACTGGAGAACCAACCAACAGGTCCACATTCGCGATCGCATCGTGTTGGAGATTTTCGCGTTCTGTCGCCAAAGCTCTCCAAGACCTATGATATAAACTGCATACAGCCAGTGGCCTTTGCGTCACCTGATCAAGTTCGCTCTTAGGCTTGGCACCCGAGAACTCCTCACGCTGGGAAACAAATGTGTACTCAAGCTGCAGGCTCTCATTGATTATCGCATACCCATGCTCCTCGTGCTCCGCAGCTCAGGCAGGATTTGTCTGCTTTTGCAAATATTCACCGCGGCCTCCCGTCGAGCATATTGTGAAGGCCTGCCTTCCGGTCATACCTCTGCTAGGAGGATTGGAGCAGAGGCGACCGAATATGACGACAGTCGCGCATCTTCTCGGCATTGTACAGAGTGATTTGGCCAAAGCCCGCACATCTCATCTCATGGTCAGAAGCTGTTTTCCAGTAGCACAGGCGCGTCACCTCGCCATTGTAAACTGCTGTTGCCGTGGCTGCGGGTTGCAAATCTTTGCCAGGGTTTACAGCAATAGCATAGGATCTGCCTGTGCTTGGCAGGTTGGTGACTCCGGATCGCTCCAGGCATCCTAAGACCAGGTGAAGGTCTCCCCAGCTGTTGACACAATTTAACAAAACATCTCAAGCGTCGAACAAGCAATACTATACCACTACGTTCCTGTTCGGGCAGCTCAACACAAGCCTTTCTAATCTTTCAACTTGCATTTGGAAAGTTGTTCCCCCAAATCTGCACGCGCAAAGCTCTGCAACATTCATGACTGTTATAACTCAAGAGCTTCCAGGCCGAAGAGCGATCTTTGGAAGTTTGCAATATGCAGAAAAAGTCGGGCAGCTTTTTTTTTAAGTACGCTTGGTCTGCCAGGCATGAGTTCGTCGCAAAGAACCTCTGCACTACCGGCTGGGAGTATTAAGGGGGACGAGTGGGTCGAGTGCTGCACAGGGTCGAATATCAGACTGCGACAGGTTCCATTCAGGGCCTCATGCCATCTGAGAGATTGCCGACATTACGGCATGCTACGGTCTCACTGCAGAAGACCTGCATGGCCCATCCGTCGTTCTGAGTCAGAGGGTGTACAGGGCTGTAACTTGACATGTTCTGACACTGTATCGGTGTGGCATTCTTGGCTGGGTCATGTAAGGCCTGGGCCTGGATCAGCTAAGGCAGCCGGTAATCAGAACCGGCTACGCCGGCTCAAAGTCGTGGTCTCCTCTCTGTGTTGCTATGAAGGAAAAAAGGCTTCGAATTCTGACGAAGTGTGCAAAGTGGAGCAAACACCGATGGGAAGACTGCGCTTGGCAGAGCACGTCGACTTCCAGAGTTGCGCTTTTTGCAACTCGGCGTGGCCATGTCTGTTTAACAGAGATGGCATTCAGAAAAGTGCCGGGGTCTCTGGATGACAAGTAGCAAAGGCGCATCGCGGATGCGAAGAAGTCCCACAAAGGACTGTTACATCTGAGTCGTAACTATAGGGTCTCCATAAATTCGTTCTACCCAGGCACCTGCAGAAGTCGCACAGTTCCAGTGACTGTGCAGCATCCTGCGAATTCCTCCGAAGACTTGGGTCCCAAGGTCTGATGCTTCAAAACAGCCGATTTGGGGGGTTTCCGAAAATAGGGGACCCTAATATGGTACCCTAAATAGTAGGATCCTTATTATAAGGACCCCAAAATAAGGTACCCTAATTTAGAGAACTACCCATTAAGACAATCACAATATCAAGGGGGCGTGCGTAACTGGTGTAACGTTTAAAACGGCATCAAGTTTGTGTAGACTGCACGCGCATCTCATGAATCTCGCCTGCCCCTCCAGCTGTCAGTGCGAAGGATAACTGTTCTTTCCACGATTCTGGCCCCTAAATCCTAGACCCCTTTTTTTTTGAGCAGGGACTGCAATGCACTAAGCCCTGAAACCCCTCTCTCTCTCCCGCGGACTCAAGCCCTGAAACCCCTAAACCCTAAATCCCTAAACACTAAATCCCCAGACCCCTAAACCCTGAACCCTAAACCCTAAATCCCTAAACCCTAAAACCCTGAACCCTAAATCCCTGAAACCCCAAACCCTTTTTCAGATCTTGAGACCCTCAAAGGCTGCTCGCTCGCACGGTGAGCGGTTGCTCCCTGCTCCTTGCCCTCACCCTGCACACCCCACAGGCTCTGCCACCACACAGTGTCACGACTACGTCGCGCGAATAATTGTGGGGGGTTCCTTATTATAATCATGGTATACTATACCCCAGACTGTATTCTAACAATGCTAAGGCCCCTATATGAAGTGCCGAGACAAAGCTTTTGTGGGATGTATTCCTCCTTGCGCTGAGCGGGCAAGCAAATGGCAACGCCAGGCTGCAGCGTCACCGGCTGCCGCATCGCAGGTGGACATTCGTTCCTGCTTGCGTTGGTCCAGCGGCCCCTTCTTTAATCCTAGGCATCACAAATTTTGGGCTCGATGGACTAGTGTCGCATAAGTTCGGCGAGCCGAGATTGGACCGAATCACATCACAAGACTCCCACTCTGACTTGCACGTCTCACCGTCTCACCTTGGCTCAGGTCAACTGAAGACTTATCTTCACCATCACAAGGGGCACAGAGTCGTGCAGCCAGGAACAGTGCCCAGATGCCAGCCATAAATGCATGTGACTCTGCCTGAAATGCCCTCAAGTCCTTATAAGGCCTATAGGCATGCTTTTTCTTGCTAAACCCTCGAGCCTCCCCGAATTTGCTACCATGCGGCTGGTCATCTTTGGGGGCCAGGTTCCCCAAAGCCTGAAACACGAACACCAAGGAGGTGCACATCTGCCGCGGTTTACCCCACGTTTTCGGCGCGCCATGTCTGCGACTGGAAGCAGATTCATGTCAATCTTGAAACGACTGCGTGGGACAATTACTCTCACACGACAGAATACAAACATGACATATTCGATTTCCAACCGACCCGGGTCAGCGCAGGCGAATATATCTCATCACGGGATTCGGACCAGATGAGTCTGGATGAAGCATGTTGGGAGGATCATCGTCATATAATCTTTATAGTTGGAACTGCCGTGGCTTCATGGCCTTGTGGTTTCGGACAGACCGACAATTCAAGCCACTCCGATGCCCGCCTTCACAGCCTTGGCCTTGGACCTGCGATCGCATCGCGTCAGCTGCGTTCTGACATACTCCTGCCGTGCCATGTTGTCCAAAGGGATGTCGGGTCTCAAGCCCAACCAAACCTACTTACGCACATGTACATACCTGCACTTCTCCTGGAGTTTGACGACTTACTGTGGAAGTTGAGATAAAATGTCGCGGGAAGGTGGGGCAAGAGCAAGCAGTGAGGCAAATCTTGAACACAGTGACTGCATGAATAGGCTCAGTCATAGAACTCGTGGGGAGCAGATTCCGATGACCATCGATGACCCAACTCCCTGTAGGCATGCGGACCTACCAGTACATAACGCTTTCATGACTCCTTTGGGAAGATGTGCTTGAGGAACTCGTGGTAGTCCAGCGAGTCGTTCTGGTCATCGTCGAAAATCGTGAAAATCTTGAAGGCTTTGTCCTTGGCTAACAAGGCCCGGCAACTCAGATGTACCAACAACCACTGCCCCCTTTCTCTAGCGATACCATGGATGCTCGATTGCAGGGCCTGCAACCTCAGGCCCCATGGCTCCGACAACTTGGAAAGCCAAAGGTCGAAGCTGATGCCAATCCGCATCTGATGAATCAACTCGAGAAATTCGGCTAGGCTCAGCGTGCCATCCCCATCCTGGAGGGTTGTAAGCGTCTCAGCTCACTTCGTAGATATGACTCTGACTCAAGACAGTGTTTATCTCGAGACTTCGAAGGCCACAGGAACGGTAGGAGCGCGTGAATACGTGGGAGTTTGCGTTTGCAAGGCTTCAGAGTTGGCGGCCCGCAAGGCTTTCATCACTAACACTACAGGTTGCAAGGCTGGGCTCAGGAGGTTTGTGCCGATGTGGGTCCCGGTGTTTGCTTTGTTTGTGGTCATCACGGCCAACAGGTACCCTCCAACAGATTCGATGCCGGTGTCTTCGCTGTATTCTCAACCTTCTATCTACATAGTATACACACACCTACATTTCCAGATAAACATACAAGTGTCTACATGTTTGAATACATACATACATACATACATACATACATACATACAAACGTATATATATATATATATATATAAAAAACACGCACATATTACTCGGATCTCGGGGTGGTGGCTCCCTGCCACATCGTGCCAGCCTGTGGCGTGTGCACAGATGGGACGCCCCTTGAACTCCGGGTTCAACAAATACGCAGCGAGTGGCTGCCAAAACCCTTCCGTTGGCGCTACCGTTACCATACCACGCCATACCAGGCCATACAATACCAGTGCACATTGCAGTACATGTCACTGCGTAACAACACCTCATTTTGTATTGTTACACGCACGTACATACATACCTACCTACCGACCTAAGTACACATACAAACCAACAGACAGACATACATGCACACAAACATACACATACACATGTATGTTGCGTGTGCTTGTGTTTACAGATGTGAGTGCCTAACCTCAGCAGTGTCAACAGAAATGCAGCGTCATGCGCAGCATGGCCCGCATGTGTCTAGATACGACGTGCAGGCTTGCTGGAAACCACATTCGGAGCTGAAGGCATCAGAGAGATTCCGCCGTCCAAGTCCGAAATTCACGCAACAAAAACAGAGAAATCTGGAAGTCTTCCAACTGGCAGTTGCAACTCACAAGCGCGACGCAGCTCCTCGTCCACATGCTCGAACAAGACCTGGTGGGCAGATTGCGGGTCGGCTCCGGTTCACGAAGCGTCTAAGTGCGGAAGAAACGGACGGGTTAGGGTGTAGGGTTTAGGGTTTAGGGTTGGGGAACTGGTAGCCGAGTGGCTCGAACGTCTTGAGAAGAGTAGCCCCACTTCTCGAGATTCTTCCGCAGCCGCGTGATCAAGAGGACTTGCGAGCGGCTTCGCCAACAATCCATGAACTCGTGGCCGATAATTCCAACAGGCAACGCCGAGAAAAGCATGCTGGTGAAGGTCAGAAAAGATGCAATGACGTATCCTTCCGTGGTGGTGGGGAAGAAGTCTCCATAGCCCACAGTGGTCATGGTTACAATGGCCAGCCACAGTGAGTGTGGCATGCTGGGGATGTTGCTTCTTTCCTCTACGAGAAAAAGGCCCGTAGCAGCTGTGAATGTGATAATGGCAGCGAGGTAGCTGAGAAAGGGCAAAGCCTCCACGGATTTGTACATGGCTTCACTCAGAAGCCTGAAAATCTCAAAGTACCGAAGTAGTTTTGAAAACCGAACCAACGGCAGAAAGAAGAGAAGGATGACATCCAAGCTCGTTCTTGAGCTGGGGGATCCAAGCAGGAATCCTGCAGCCGCCCTCAGCGGTAGCCCTGTGGCTGAGAAAAGGTCCGGCCAATTCATGGCATCAACCAGATAGCTCCACTTGGAAGGAGCAGAAACGAAGCGACAAAGAAACTCCACCAAGAAGATGGCATCAAACGCAGTCTCAATGGCGGCTGCAATTGTGGCATCTTCCACAAACGGACTCCTAGGTCTTTCGTTGCTCGAAAGCCCCCCTTGCGAAAAGTTTGTCCCACTTCTGGCGATGTCGAAAACCAGAAAAAGAAGACAACGAACGACTAACAGCCCAGGCGCTGAGTTGTCTGAAAGAAGCTGAAGGCCACGCAGCTGAAAACGAGAATTTTCAGGCACACGCCCACAAACCACGCCCCCGGGCTGGACTCGGGGTCGTCCAGGAACCTCTGCTTCTGAGCTCATGTCATTCACACACACACACACACAAATCATGCAAGATCTAGGACCTTGGCCAGGACTGCCCAAAAAATCAATTAGACACAGTGCGTCCCCACCGACAGTGTGGCAACGGCATGCAACCGCTGTGAGCCCGCATCTGCGATTGCCAAGCAGCTCCCACAGCCGGTCCATCGGACCCCGTCTCACGAGCCTCAAAACAGGTTCGTCCTCCTCGTCATCTTCATAGATCTTCCTGCGTCATAAAGGCAACCCAGAGACTCCAAAACCCCTTAATTAAGAAATATACCTTGAATTATAGTAGGAACCCTGATATGATTTAAGCTATATTCCTTAATTAAGGGGTTTGGGAGTCTCTGGGAACAAAGACAGCAACCTCAACATTTAGCTAGTTCTTGATTTGGACTTGCTCGACGAAGCTGGACACAGGGGCAAGGAAAATGCTGACACTGAAGACAAGTGTTGGGGCTGGCGGGCTCCCTGCATTTCTCTGCCGAGCATCCTTGTGGAATTAAAATCACGACCACCGGCGCTCAGCTGGAACGCTTTCCTTCCGGCAGTCAACAGTATTTGGCCGAAAGCCAAGAACCAAGATTCCCTGCAGCCAATGCTTTGGTGATGACAACTCGTTGGGATCTCGCTATGGGTGCGGCAGATGGAACTGCGTCTAGAATGCCTTTGTCCTTTGTCCGCGTTTGGGATGAAGTCCCAGTCCCCGAGGCCCCACCCAAGAGTCTCTGCTCTTCCGAGGTGAAGTCTGGAAGTCCCCCCGAGCCCCCGAGCCTGTTGTTCTTGGAGCGCGTCGAGGTCGCCTCGGCGGACCTGGGATTTATCGGACCGCCGAGGTGCAAAGGTAGGCTTCCAAAAATCCCTTCACACGATGAAACGAAGATGCTGAATCCTGATAAGTACGTATCAATTCAAAAGGCTCCTGTGCTTTCAGCTCATGCTCTGTTCTTTGATTCATCCGTGCCGGGGAACACGAAACGTCTGAAGACCTGTACGCAACTTGAGCCTCGTTGCCTTGATACCAGACCCATGACCCTGCTTCACTTCCAGCGGTTTACCTTTGAAGTCCTTGATGATTGGATCAAGCTAGTGCCTTATTCCAAGCCCTGAGCCCCCCAGGTCACAGTCCCAGCCACATCTTTGAATCGTCTCGCTCTGGCGTTCTGGACTCGGAGGTTGCTTCACTCGTCTCACTGGTCCTCCGGCGGTGAGAGGAGGCCGCAAGGCCACGGGACAAAGCAATCCAACTGGTGGGCTTGTGGTCCTTGCTGGGCTCGCGGTCCGCGGCGGGGTTTCAACATTGACTCCTGGCACGCTCCTCGGGGCAGCAGGAGTTAGACAGTTGGACTCTCAAGCTTGCGTATGGCCGGATGTCAGGCGCGAGGAGGGGAGTTAAATGGAGGACTAATGCCTTGGAGCTCCACCTTGCAGAATTGGGCTACACCTCACAAGATTTCCCCCTCTCGGCCACGACTCTGGGAAGAACAACCTTCTACTGCTAGGCACAAGTGCCAATTCGACAAAAGCAGCTTTTCCCCAGCCCGAAAACCACTTCAAATAAAGACAGGCCAAGTTTCTCAGAAACTGATGGCCGCAAGCCAGGATCCGTTGTCAAACTCGCTGGTTTCCTGAAAGCAACACCATTGTGTGCGAGGCTTCAACTCTTCCTCGCTGCCACTGCCCTATGAGCCCGATATTTCTTTGGACCAGAACACAGCATCAACTGAGAAGAGGCAAACAGGAAGGACAAAGGAGTCCGACAAACCTTCCTGCCATGTGATCAGAGTATGCGACGCTAAACGCAATCACGCATGCTGGGTGCGACGAGGCGCATCTTTGGCACATCCAGCACATCTTTGTGGTAGGTCTCCATACGCTCGCTGAGGCGATCCAAACGATACTCGATCCTCATCAAGGCCTGATAGAGCGGAGTCTCGAGTTCGACGCTCTCGTGCCTTAGCCGCAGGCTTCTTAGTCATGATGGCCCGCTGAGACATTTTGCATCATATTGTTCTCCGGGGTGTGCGGTCAAATAGCCTTACGAGCATCAACCCCTAAAGCCGTCTGCTTGCCTGCAACCCAAGTTCTCCATGGCCACTGCGGGATCTCCTTCGTCGCGGACGTCGCAGCTCGACCCACATGTAGGCGCCACCATCATGGGAATCATCATGATGAAATTTCTAGACGTTCTGTGCAGAAGGACTCACTGCAAGCATGCTGGATCTCCCATCTGTCGCACCTCGTGTTACTTACTGTTAGTTGACCTTGCTAGTATGCACCTGCGTGCCAGTCCGAGCCAACACGGCAGCAGATAGAAGTCCACATACGGACCTGGGCATAGCCGCCTTCCTGGGCTTTCTAAACTCGCTTGGCAGAGCACAGGTGGCCCGTTCATGAGGGTTAAGGAGGACAGAAACGAGAAGCAAACCGTCGCTGCCGATACTGGGCAGCAAGGCCAAGAGGCTGCACGAAGCGAAGGTCGCCAAGTACGAAAGCGTTGAACAAACGCTGGAGGAATCTGGAGCGCAGGGACCGCCTCGGTACGACCAAAACCTCGTCGAGGCATCGTTGGTCCACGATCACTTGCATCCAATCAAGCTTGCCCCCGTGCCAGAGATTGCTGCGGGTGTTCCAGATGTCAGCCTGACCCTCGAACTCACCCAATTTTTCACCATGACGTTGACATGTGAAAATGGGTCTGGCGGCGACTGCTCATCATCGGACAAAGCAGCTCTAATTGTACCATCCCAGCGGTGCAGAAGCGAAACCAAAGCAGTATGTTTATGCATGTGCATGGACAACTAACAGATAATAAGAGCATGGCCCCAACAAAGAGGCTTCCGCCGCTTTCTGCAGCTTGTATACTACACCAGACTGTCGCGTAATGCCTTCGAGAGAGAGAGAGAGGGAGCGAGCGGAAGAACAATTGTAACAACAACCCATATTTAAAAAAACGGAGAGCAATCCAGTACGTTTGTCAATGCATAGAGTCTCTGTGACATCTGGGGGGCCTACACAGTGTGAGGAGGCACCATTCCAGCAATAGCCGAGGTCGGTCCAAATGTCCCTTCAACTCGGACGGGGTGGCCTGGTCATAAACGATCATCGCCCGGACCTTAGCTTTCGGATCATACAACATCATTGCTGCTCAGCGGTGTCTCTCTCTGTATCGTGAGGTGCAGAAATATCATGCTTCCTGTGCGTTGCAACAACCCCGCATTGCTTCCACCCGGCGGCCCTGTCGAAATCAACAAAGATGGGCCTTCGGCCACTGCCGTTTCAAGTTTGGGCTTGCAGAGCATCGAATCGAAGGCTTCGTGGATCTTCGTGGCAGCTGGGATGCACATAGGACTGTGGAGAAGAAGAGATATGTCTCTGTGTGTGTACTGTGCGGTTTCCGGTGGGAGACGACAACCCGAACAGGGAAGTCCTTCTCCCCTTGATTCTGCGACTTCGACAGGCAAGCTTCGCCTCCCGACTGCACAGAAAGCAATGAGTTGCTGAGGCATAGGACCCACTTGCAGATGCCACAAGCCGCCACAGATGCCTGCCACTCTCCATGCTTCCCTGTGCTATTCTCAAGTCCAACGATGAGGCTGCACGCGTCACTTGACTACCGGGTCGGGGAAATATCTCTCGTCATGGGCAGCAAACATAGCAAACATATGAGTGGTTCCTGGTACTCTCTGTCACTCCTCCTGCAGTCCCTTCTGGAAGTGGTGCTGGTCTTGCTACAGGCTTTCTTGTCGCAGCAAACATTGCAAGTGGTACACATACACATATATAGTCATATGTAACTTACATAATCCTTGGTGTGTCTTTGCACCTTGTTTCTTATTGGGATCTCAAGCAGAGATAGGCTTGCTTTACCACAAAGCGCGCTCTGGTTGTGTCAGCCTCTCAGTCTCGCCTGTCACAAATCCCTGTTGCGTTTTGGTGCCGATAATTACCCAGCTCGGTCAATGCGCGGCATGCTCTTTCAAGTCGCTTGCCGGTGTGATTTGGCCCTGGAAGAAAGCCGCGAGCGATACACCAGACTCAGGCTTCCATCGCATTGCGAAATAATGCTGCCAATGCAAATTTTGACACCACATCTACGCCAGACATTGCTCAAAAAGGGTGTAATGCTTCGAGGCCCTATAGGCTGAGCAAGTCAACACAAACAGAGCTGTCACTAGAGCTGCTGAGTGGCAGAACCAGGTGAAATTAACTTCACTTCCGTGACTCATGCCGTGGCAACCTGTAGCTGAAGACTTCGTCGTGAAGACAATGCCATTTGGCCATGCTAAGCACACTCATGCTGGCCTTTTTGATCGCATCTGGCTCGAAGTCCCTCAGTAAATTGGCACTGGGTTGCTATGAGACGTACGACCCTGGTACAGTAAGTTAAGCAGAATCATGAATGAACTGTGAAGCTGCCCCTTGGGCAGGGATGGCGCGAGGATAAGGATGCACATTCAGGACAAGCATCGGATCTGTCTCCAGTGGCAGAAGCTTTGTCATAACCTCAGGCGCTGAATGAGCAAACCGTGAAAGCAGTCATGCTGATCAACAGCGTCTCGGCGTGTCCCGGCCATGTGATCATATTCTTGGCCGATTCTAGGCGTTGCCATTGACCACAGGGTCTCAAGAGAGTCGTCGAACTGGCAGAGCGGTATCTTGCAGTTTTCAACGGAGCACGCAGCCGTTTAGCCTCACAACTTAGCATGGCCAACTCCATCTGCTGAAGCCGCGACACGCAAGCTTGCAGGAACTAGCTAGCTCAACAACCGAACAGACATCTGAGCTTTAAATCGCTAAACTAAGAGGGCTCATTGCCAGCTTATCATAAACACAGGCACCACTGTTTACAAGCTCTCGGAGAAGAACGCATCGGAAGGTCGACCGAGGATTTGGCATCGGTTGGAATGTTGTCCTTATCAAAGTTCAGCAGACGCTCGAGCAGCTTCGGATCACCCCAGAGCTCCTGCGTCAAGACGCTCAAGGTCATAAGCGCCGGAATGCACTACGATGAGAGTGGGGATCGGAAGAAATCAAGAACCCAGGCAAACATGCATGCAATTACGTAAGCATGCCCAGCGTGTGCACGCAGGCACGCATGAAGGCAGCAAAATACATGCAGACAAACACAGGCCTTTTTGGCCGGATCCCAGTAGTCATCCATCTTGGATCTGCCATCTGGTGCAGGCACCTGCCAGCATTTCGTTCGGCACGTCGCTGAGTCAAGAACGGAGTCTACACATGTCTACACCAAAGACTCGGAGCACACTGCTCATGCTCTGGCCTTCTTCGGCTTCACCCCGAAGCACCAGCAAAGGGCTTTGGATACCAGCACGACACCTGGGTCCGCGATGTTAGAGTTCTTCAGTTGCGGAGGCGTCCAGATCCTGTTGCATCGAACTTGTGCCCCAAGGGTGGGGGGGGGACGCAAGCTCCCTAAGCGGGGCCAGCGGGGAAGCTGCGGAGCAGGAAGGACACGGGCTGTTTTCGTCTGACTTGGCGCGCGGTGTTGGCGTCACTCTTGGCTACTGGACTTCTGCAGTGTTCTAGTGAAACAAATAGCTTTGAGGTTTAGAGCATGCTGCGACCCCAGAAAGCAAGCGGCCGGCGAGCGTTTGACAGGACAACTGACGCAACATTTACCTCGGTCGCAAACAGGACCGGCGTGCCAAGGAAAGCCGTCGCCTCTCCCAGAAGCAGCAACCCTCCCGACACCTGCCCCTCCGGGCCCACCAGGCACAGGCATCATGAGCATCATTGGCCTCCCGTTTCTCGAAAAAGACCCCTCTCCAGACGTCACCCATGCGGCCCCGAAAACCTCCTGGGCCTGTCCACCCCCCACACCACAGCAAAGCTGGTGTTAAAAAACTCAAGCATTGCTGGAGGGAGCTTTCGCAATAAGCACGGAAGGTTGCAGTAATGTGCAGTAATGCCCGGAGCCGGGCAACTCTGTTTTGCCAACAGGCTTGTTCAGACTCTGGGCCGGGGCTAATGCTGGACCTGCTTCGCTGAACCTTCTGCTGCGGTTGCTGCCATGGTTTTCGTGACTTGATACGAGATGCCACGCTTACAAGCTCCTAAGCAACCCCCCCTATAGTCTCCATTATAGTTCCTTTTTGCGGATACCTTATAAAATCCTTAATATATCATTGGTTAAACCAAAAAAAGGAACTACAGTGGATGGAGACTATAGGTCCCCTGCACAAACTCAGCCAAGGTCCGGACCTCCCGGAGGCTTGCCCATGGCCTTGACCTCTACAATGTCGCCCTTCGACAGCTGGTTCAGTGCCTTCCGACTGAAGGTTTCAACGACTGATCGCATTGGTGATCTTTCGGACCTACTGTAGGGATCTCGATGGACATCCCGGTTTCACTACATACGAAACCATGTTTCGACAACTTCTCGCTGGCCGCAGGCTGCGACTCATTTTCCTGAACGTGGCCAGTGGCCTGTGCAACCGCGCTGGGATCAATCCCCACAGGTGTGGTCACCCGCGGTCACCTTCTTTCTGGCTGCAGCTTGTGAAACCACTGCCCCCAACAAATAGGAGCATCCATGGCCAATTTATGACGGCGCTGTGTGTGAAACGACGATGGTAGCAATCCCTGCATCCCTACAGTAGAGGCAGCAGCGGTGGTACAGCAGAGCGTGTACCAGCCACATTCCATAAGACATGAAGTTTCGTTTCTTGTAGCCCCGAAAGCCTTGTCATTACTCACCAAACAGGGACCGCACGAAAACTTAACCGCCTTATGCTCTCACAACTCGAACTCGGACAAGCCAGATGAGATCTAAAGTTTCGCCGTCGGCTCTCTCAGCAAGAAATGCACTTTGTCCGCCTGTGTTTGTTCAAAGCTTCAAAGCCACCCAATCAACCCTGCCTCAATGGCCGAGTTCAATGCAGGCATCGCCTTGTCTAGGTCCCGCCTGTGCCAGGAAACGGATGCGTCATTGCATGGCAGCGTGAAGGCATGCCGCGACAGCTGCCATCGGTGTTCGAGGTGCAGTGGGTGCTGGCAGAAGTGATTGTGATTGCAATACCATCAATCTTCTTGAAGAGCTTGAAACTACATCCGTGCAGGACTCAGTAAGTGCCGTGCTGGCAATCCACTTTCATGTTGTTGGCACTCTCTGCGACCTTTGCCGTCTCTGCGGCATCCTGTCGCCAGTCAAATTTAAACACAATTTGTTCTTGACCTCTTGGGGCACAAGACCCAGCCTCTGATGATGCATGATAGTCCAGCAACCCAAAATGCGGGAAATCCCTGCGACCCGACCCTGCGAAACTGGTGATGGACAGCCAAGTTGTCTGTGCATGTGTCGAGCCGCGGGGTCAGCGAAAGTTCACCAATTCAAACCCCGCTTCCATCGTAACCACTCCGCACCCCCGCAAGACTCTTCCATCGCAGGTAAAGATTGTAGGTCAGCAACCTTTCAAGCTTCTGCTCTGCTGTAGTGACTTTAGTGCACACGGTGGAAGCAAGGGCCCCTTAAATCCGCACCCACCCGCCAGTCATAATCACGCAGAGAAGTGCGGAGAACTTACCGCTTCAGCCACACCACCTCATACTTCCTGGAAATCCCTTGTGTGTCGTGTGTGTGCGTCCTTTCATACATCGCACCAAACTCCGAGGAGAAGTGTGCTTGCGGGTCCTTGGAAACCACCTCTTCGGTCACTGCCGCTTCCTTCTGCTTGCCCTCAATGACTACCATGAGCTGTGCCTGCGACGGCGGCACCGCATCCACAGTCCGAAGTTCAGGAACCTTGGCAGCCTTATCGGCGACACCTTTTTGCAGCATTTTGCAGCGCAAAGACGGCTTTTTGCGGCGAGCGAGCGTGATCCAGTGCGGTCAAATGGGCCGCCAAAGCCAGGCTCCATCCGTGAGAATTGTCATGCAATTGCTGTAAGCAGGCACTGCGCCTGTGATCACGTAACTATACATGGTGGCTGGAGCAAAGGGGCCACGTGACAGCTCTGCTCTCCCTAGCACGTACAGAAACAGATAAGTCAGACAAGCAATACACAGCTGTGACCTTTGCCGCTCCAGGTGATCTCCCCACATTCAGCGTCGGCGTCGGCCACTGAAAGACGAATGTTTCAGAACATGAAACCAGCTGCGTGCCAGCATATATGCAGCTTGGTGACCAAAGGCAGGTACACGTCACTACACTTACACGCTTAAACCCCCTTGCTTATGCGGATGTTGTGAAGCACAATCGCGTCCTGGAGGTCGGCCAAGCGAAATCTCTTCTGCTGTACATGCCAAGGGTGGCGCTTTACAATCTGCTGGATCACGGGGAACATAGGCTAAAAGTGGGCTACACCGCGCTCAAAACTGCTTGGCCTTCGATTCGTCTCAGAATACCTGGGAATTCATCGCAACGGGCCGAGCAAAGGCTATAGGGCTGCTGCAGCGCCGGTCATAGTAAGTTCCATGTCGACGAAGCCGGTCTGGCCTTAGCCCTGCAACTGCACTCCCTAGCAGCGAGCACTTCAAGCAGACTTTGCTCCCGGACTGCTGTTCTCAAGACGATCTACTGGCATCAATCTAAACAAACCAGGTCCCACCACAGCATCCTAAGCTTGCCAGAAAGTCCCTGACCTGGAACCATGAACCCTGTACCCACTATGACGTGCAAGCCCACCACACGAACAGCACAAACCGGGCTGAAGGATTGTGTCAGCGAGCGTCCCTTATCCACAAGCAGGCCTTATAGCTCCCAACGCAGGCTGCCCACACGAAAAACAGCCACGCACGAAAATCCTCTCCCACTATGTAGTATCGCGGTCCGTGCGGCGGGCGACCAGTGCCGCACGACCAGGACCGTCTACCCACTTGCTCAGAAGCCTCGTCTTTTTGAGACATGTTGGGACTCGTGGGGTCTCAAGTTTCTGGGACCGGGGCAGTCGCAGCAGGGCCGGCATATGAGGGCATCCGTGGCTCTTTGGGAATGACTGAATTACGGGTGTCGAGCAGTGGCTGCAATTCCAACATCTCTGGCATGTGGTGCCTTCCGCGGACGATGTTAGCCCTGAGACTCAGGTGGAGCAAGCGAAAGACCCCCAAATTCGGGGTAACGCATCAACACCGATTGCTTGCCTAATCCAACACTCACAAAAACAAACACTGAGTCCTGTGGAGGAGCCCTCTTGTGCCAAAAATGGCCCACTGGAGCTCTGCGTTCAAGGCGTCCAAATCCGAAATGCCCGAGAGGATCATGTCTCGATCCTTGCCGGCTTGGGAGCCTACGATGCACTGACAAGCTTCACTGAACTTCTGGCCTCAAGAAAGGCAGTTAACTGCTTGCGTCTCCTGTTGACAGCAAGCCAAGGATTCAGGATAGGATTTCATCTTGGGAGTTGAAGAGGACGGAGACGCATTTCCGAAAACTGCTCGATCGCAAACAGGAGCAGACTGAACGAAGGACAACACTGGGCCATCGAGCTTGACTGCTTGCCCCTGGCATGGTACCGACTTCCGTACTTAAAGCAAGCCCGCCACGAAATGCATTGAAGCTTCCTCAGGGCGAGATGCTTCACAATCTCTGACGTCAATACCTGAGCAAACCGGCCATAAGCCTCGAGAGCTGCATGCATTGCAGTTGGTCCACAGACTCGCCAGCTGGCAACACACCCAAGCTTCAGGTTTCAAGTTCGGCTGTGCTTCCGAGTTGCACGACAGGCTCTGGTAGTGGTTGTCCAGAGAACTTTGCGAGTGTATCTTTATCCTGAGTGACGAGTAACAGTAACAAGTCAACTGTCGGGAAGACCGACGGGCCCAGATTCAACTCAGTAGACGAAACTCACACCCACAATGGCCGATGAAAAGACATCAAGTTGAATCGTAGAATTCAGCTTCCTGAAAATCGGTGCAGTGGACAGACCGCACACCGCGGTTCTTGCACACTTTGCGCTGCCTCGAACGCTCGGCTCAGCACATTCTGCCCAAGCGTCCGCTTCGGTACTTGGGAGACCTCTGACTCGACGATTTCTGCAATGCACCATGCTCTCGGGAAGACCTGCTTGTAATGATTGTAATGGTAGGACGC